CTGGGCTGGGCCAGGCCCTGGCGGTACGGCGATTGGGGTGGGGGAGTCCTGGAGCCTGACAAAAATCTCCTGGGGATGGCTTACGACAGACATAAGAGCCCCCCGGCGAGCGCGCCGTGGATTCCCAGGCTTCTTCCTGCTTCCTCCCCTTACGGGCTGCCAGTTGGTGTCAGCAACGGGGAGGAAATGGTTTGGCGTGAGGTATTGGGAAGCAAATCCACTCTGATACTGCCACAGTCCAGCACCCAGGTGAAGCAGCCAGCCAGGCGGGAGGCCAACAGAGACCAAAGGAAACCTGCAGAACCAGTGAGAACGTTTTATCGCAAGAAATGCACGGGCCGAACTTGTGAAGAAGCCTCTGTCTCCCGATGGGGCTTGTTCCCACACGAGGAAACAAGTGACGATCAAAGTGCGCAGCTCTGTCTCCCGACGAAGCACTGGCCATCCACTGCAGGGATAGCTGGCACGCATGCGTCCTTATTTCTGCATTCGTAGGAACCTTGCCGTGCTCCTGTAAGGCTTTTGTATTGCGTTGCAGAAGTTTGCAGCTTATTTTTATCTTGAAAACTTCAAGGACATCCATGTGTACTTCCCTACTTAGCCTGTGATGGGCCCTGCAGGATACGTGAACAAATAGATCTGGTGTGCAGACACCGGTGGGTTTACACGTGGCCACCTGCACCGAAACACTGTGCCCTGGGAATGGGGCAAAATGTACCCTTCTCCAAGGCGAGCCTGAGGAGGAGCAGCCCAGTCCCACCGGAGCAGGGCTTGGTGGGACGGATGGAGCGCACCCTTGAATTTCCTCAGGAAGCAGCACTGCTAACTTTCTTTGGGGGCGTGTTTTGGAGGAGAAGGGCCTGTGGGGCTGAGAGAAGAGGGTGCAGCTGGTGGCCTTGGCTTTGTGGCACTGGCATGTCACCCAGGTTTCCATAGCACCAGCATCCATAACACGGCGCCAAGGGGAGGGAAAGAAGTAGGTCAGACTGGGCTAACAATACCCAGACATGTCTATCTACAGCTCAGCTTGATCCAGGGAAGGGGGTGAAACAGAGGAGAAAGGGAGAGGGAAAGAAAAAAAAAAAAAAAAAGGAAAACACAAAGTGTCCATAGTTTGAGCAATGCATTTCTTTCCCTCAGAAAAATAAGGACCTTTTAAAGCCACCTTTGTGTATCAGTACTGAGAGACGGAGACTAGCACCCACCTCCTGCCCATCTGACAACAGACTACAAAGGAATTCAAATGCTAATTTGGAGCCGGACTTCTCAATGGGTCTTTATTTCTGCAGCAGTTCTGGGAGCTGGGAGCTGTGAGGATGCTCATCTGTCTCCAGACCAGTACTGTGGGATGCTTTCCTTTCCCCTCTCCATTCCTCATCCTGATTTTGTTACACCCTTGTCTTAGTTTTACTTGTTTACACTCAAGTGACTTCAAGGGCAAGGAAAAAGAAAGGCCGACACGCTGAAGCTAACTGAAATAACTGCGGTAGAGGCCCATTTTATGTGCTGAGTCTGCAGAGGTCTCGCTGTCAACAGAACGGGGTTTTGGTGCTTGCCTGTGCGCAGCACAGTCATTTTGAATGATGTATCCATCAACGCCAAAACTGAGGGGAACATTATGGGCAGCAAGACCCAGAATCCTCTTGATCTGAGTAAATGTACAGACACACAGATCGGCGGGGTGCATAACAGAGCAAGATCAGAGGAAGGAGGAGTGCTTTGCTCCGGGGAGAATACGAGAGTGGAGGTGCAAGAGCACAGCCCTCACTGGAGAGACTGAGATGGACTGGGATGGAGAGTGTGACTGCGGCTGACCTGTGTCATACCTGCATTTCAAGCATGCTGTGTTTGGCTCGAACGCCGCACCGTCGCAGAATAGACACAGCCCTGGAGGGAGGTGCAGGGTGTTTCAGACAGGCCTGTGAGAGCAGGCCCCTCGCCCACAGGAAAATACTCCCTTTGCATTACCACAGGCCACAGCCCTGTGCCGTAAAAAACATTCCTGGGTTAGACAGTGGGGTAAAATCCAAGCAAAACCAAAGCTATCTGCCACTTTGTACATTAGCGGATCAAGACAGGGAGGCCAGGAAAATCCATGCTCTGAGGTTACAATTCGCCTCATCTTCATCAGCTTTATACCTCCCAGTAATTATCACTTCT